TGGCAACATTCAGACCTTCATGCATTCGCTAGGCCATTCATTCGTTCACTAGTTCATTCGTTCGTTCATCAGTCGTTTCTCCATTCAATAATTGATTCATTAAGTAATTAATTAATTCGTTCGTTCGTTTATCCATGTGTTCATCTTGCCACGAGTTCGTTTATTCATTTATTCGATCGTTCCTTTGCTCGTTCATTCATTCGTCCACTGCTCTTTTACTTCAGCCACTCGTGTTTTCAGTCAAACATTCATTGAATCAATCATCAATTCGTTTATTCGTTCTTTCACATGATCATTAATCTGCTCGTTCTTTCGCACATAAATTCATTCGTGCGTTCACTCGTTTATTCTTTTTCTGCTTGTGTCTTTTCGGTCATTCGCTCACCAAACAGTCCACTTTTGCTTTCTAGCTGAGGGATCGACTGCCTCAAGAATTTTACCAAGAAACACGGTATTTCGTGAAGTAGACAACCATTACGGGGGAATTTAAGCACGGCATTGCCAGGAGCTCAAATTGGCTTTCGATGTGCCGTTTGACCAACTCTAATTTGGTTCCATGGTACGAGTTCAAATTGGAAAGTCATTCCATTGGGATACTTATGATGCTCTCGCCGTACAGATGAAAATATTCAGCTGAAACGAAATGACCAATTTCGTTGCATCTTTCCTATCGTAAAATACCGAACGCTTGGGCTAAGATCTCAACAGGTCAGTAATCATCGATGAAACTAATGCACATTGCTTGTTAGAGAAAGAGAGAACTCGTTTCTGTCAGCACACGTCACCAACGCCCATATTCGAACATCGATCTCATCAGAATACAGGCAAGACCAAGAAAATGCGCATGTACTGATAATGAAGATTATTCAAGTATGCTTAGGTATAAACATACTACTTGAAGATTCCTATCCTTGCTAGCATCATTCCGTATATGTCTACTCTGCCTGCCTGCCACTCCCCCGACAACCAGTCCTGCGAGAGGCCATCTCCAAGTATGCATCGTATTTATATTCTGCTCATTATCGATTTCACTCTACCGCATATAACGTAAACATAACTGTGCTCTCTCTAGGCCAGAGAGGCAATGCCATGAACGCGAAACTGCGGGTATTAGTTACTAGTGTCACCGAGTGTTTGGAGGATGTAACGCTTCTTTGAGACAGGATGGAACATTCATTACAGTCAATGCACGGTGCGCAGCTTACAATTATGCGTTAGCCGCATAAGACCCATGCAGTTACATTATTAGTTATATTCGCGTCGATGCGCTAATGTTCGATTTCTGGCAAACCGACTATTCGTTGTAGTCTTCCCTGAATACGTGGCAGGAGGACAAACCTTCAGTGTATTGCACAGCTCTGAGGTAGATTGTATTTTGCAGCTTAGAGGATCGACTTTTAACCAGTAGATTGTTGATCGGGGCGGTGCCACATAACAGACTAATGACGGTGGAAGGAAAAGTGCACTGCACTGTCATGAATCTACTTAAATATATGAGGATACATCAGAGTATTGCTTTGGTCTCGCTTATAGCAAGCAATAAGGTAATCCAGGATAAGGTAATCTGACGTGGCATAGAGTGTTTTCATGACTTTCACGTTGCCGTCTTTTACGCTGCTCAAATTTTCTTCAGTGCTTACCTCATTGTTACATCGCTGCATTTAAACATGGTTTATTGCTTTTGTGACGTTAATGGCGGAGTACATTTGAATTCGCCACTAAATGGTCAAAAACCGCTGAATGCAATGACAATGAGAGCGATAACCCATAATTTACTGATCCGATTGGCGAAATAAGCATACATTTTGAAGTTTCCTTAATGATCATGGTGAGTGTTCTTTCGAAAGGCACCTTTTTCTTAAACACAGTCAATTTTTTCACAAAAAATAGGAATTATTTGCCCTTAAAATGTTTCAATTTACTGCGTTACGTCAGTTGAAGGCCAAATTATCAATGGTTGCTATAAATTTCGATGAGCGGGCTGTTTAATTGCAAAGGATACGTTCATGAGATCGCATAGTTTACGGTTGACCGTCAGACTCAGAACCGAACCGTAGATTTCAAGATTCAAATCTCGTCTTTCTTCTTTCTAAACTAAATAGATGACTACCACTGTATGGTAAGGGAAAAGATCACACGCTTTGCGTACCACATGACCATAGAATTTGGCCTCAGAAATAAGGCATTCGGTTTGATTGTGCATCGAAACGAAAATCAGCACCGAACCATAATGAACTTCATGAAAAGAAGTGAGCTACAAATGCTTAACAGGTTAATAATCATGAAAATATAAAGGCTACCGTCGTCCAAACGATTTAAAGCGTTTCTTCCTTCCTTCCCAGAATTTATGTTTATATTCATTTGATTCATCTTTTATTTTCATAATTTATTTATTGCCTAAGTTTGTGATCTTTTAGTGATTCTACACGCTGTAGGCATATGGAAGCTCCACAATTCCAAGCAAATGCTAATTTGAGTATCTCAAAATTGCCCTGAGACGCAGGTCGAAGCGGTTCGGTTCTTTGTTGAAACAACGTCAAATTTTATCAACAGTGACTTCATGATGTGTATATCGGAACAGTAACAGTCCGAGATATTTAAACTAATAATTCTATCGAGTAATTTCCAAATATTTGTGTCAGATACCAGATAAACAAGAGATCTGACAGGTAAACAACCGCGGATGACATGAAGACGGTGTCACATAGTGCGGTGAGTTAGCCATTGGAGGAAAATCTAAACGCCAAAGACTACAGGTGATGAAGTGAACATGCCATTATTAAATAAGCAGCTGCTAAATCCAAAGAAGTTCTAGTCAATCCCGATTCAATGGAGAAGAGCCATTTAACCGAATCAGGTCATGGCGCTTTTTTGCTCTTTTGGCAACCAACAATTTTTGAATTTTAAGTGCTATGTTCAGAAGTTGAGCTATCACGAAATTAGCACGTGGGTTAATTAGTTAATTTCAAATTTTTGAAACACAACTCAAAAACATAAAAATGGGCTAGCTACAGCACAGCAGTATTTTTCATACAGTTTTATTTTTACAATCACTCAATCGTTATTTCATCTTTGAGGAAATGTTCATAACTCACTACGCTGACCAAACAAGTTTGTGAATTTCGCTTCTTTCACTTGGCCGGGTCCATTTCTCTAAGCTTCACAGCATGGTTGAACACGACAGACCTAAGAGGCTTAGATGCACGTCGTCGCGAAAACCCGTTGTTACCTTCTTACTGCGTTGAGGTAGTGAAAGTATGAGTCAGGAGCGAATTTAACGCTTATTAACAACTTGAATCAAGCCTATACTTTTGTTACCCATCTTGCAGAGCAGTAATTTTTGGAAGAGTTGGGAACGGAAAAGAGTCTTTTCTTTAATGAGGTCTTTTCGATGTCAGGTAACCA